TATATATATATATATATATATATATATATATATATATATATATATATATATATATATATATATACACTACTACCCTCTACCTTCTCACTAAATGCATCAGCGATGAACCTTGCAAGCAGTTAGGTTTTCTATCTTCTGTTACCGTGAAGGAATAGCATTTTGGGCAAGTATACAAAGCCAAAAACAATATGTCAGAACAAATGTCTACTTTAAATTAAGATATAAGAATTGGCCTTTTAATTTAGCTGTTAGTAATTCTTGCATTTTTAGGTATAAGTTTGTGTAATAATTGTAAAAAGAAAGCACACCTTTCAATTTCAGTGGTTTTACATACAACAAGACACATTTTAATCATTGTTAGATTTTTTTTTCTCTAGAACATGGTAAGCACCAGATCATTGTTACATTAGCACCCATTTTAACATTAATCTATTAGTCTAGAGAGCTGAATATTAATGTCATTTTTTAACATTTTGCTGTTTGGTTGTTACTGTAGTAATGTTTAATCAATTCAGTTTGATTATGTTTATTTATATGGCATAAATCAACAACAGATGCCGTCTTTAGGCAATTCAAAGAGACAAGTCAATCAAATCATGCAAAAAGATGTTTTTAAGTAAACCCAGCTGATTGCATCGGGTCATTGGCTTTGCAGGATTCGTTTTTCCAGGAGCATCATGAGCAGAAACTTATAAATTCAAAGCATTACAATTTCAAATGCATGCATTACACACTGATTGTGTTTCCTCAATGAATATCCTGAATTTCTATAATTGTATGTTTTAATAAACTTTCTTGTCTCTGAATTATAGTTCCTTTGGGAACCGATAAGCTTGTATAGATTTTATAGATTTTTCTTTTCGTAAAGATTCTAATCAGATGAGACAAATGGGTCAGTAAGAGCCACAAAATACCCGTAAACATAGAGAGGAATGAGAGGATAATGTGCTTTTACTTATTCAGATGTACTAATACTGTTCAGGCTTTTAATACACAGCATATAAACTCTGCAAATATGTGCTTAAAAACAAACACACACACTGTTTTTCAGCAGCAGGAAACAGAGACAAGACGCAGCCCTCAGCTCAAGCGAGAGTAGAGAGAGAGAAAAACAAGACTTTCACTGGTGGTTTCCATGGAAACTGTCTCCTGTTCGGTTTAGGGGGAGGGCAAGCAAGGAGTAGATGAGTTAGACCGACATTTAAGGTGGCTCACTTTCAGGGTGGGAGGGAATTATTTAAGGTGGATTGAAATATGAGTGCATTGGTTTCCTCTGCAGCCTACATAAAAGGGTCGCGTGAGGTAACAGCTGTACAGAGCGACTCGTTTGAGAGAATGATAATGGAGAACGGAGATAATTGAGGTGTGGCCTCCTTTCACCTTGGACTGCATAGTCAGCACGCTCGGCTGCCAGGACACACACACTCTGACACACACATTCTCACAGGGATTATTGATATCAAGATTATAAAATCTGCGGGTAATTACATTAAAGCGTGAGGGATGTTGCTATAATACGACTGTCACGCAGAGCAAATAATTGTAAAAATGATAAGATTGAGGATTTATGTGTGGATGTGTTCTTTTGGGATTGTTTTTTTAGATATCAAATGCTTTTGTTTGCATAATGCTTGTGCTTCATACATTCTCACATAACAATGTTTTATGTTAAATTACTTGGATAGGGAACCTGTAAAGACTTGCTAAAAACACATTTATATAGTCTCTTTAGAGCAGCTAATATTTGCTGTTTTTGTTGTTTGATAGACGTGTTTTGGTTCTTTTCAGAAAAAAAATATACACTCTGCTGCTGAGAGTATCCTTCAGTTCTACTTACTGAAGTGTAAAACTTTAAATCATGCCCATTGGTAGAATTTCTACTATATGTTTCCTACATAAGGGAAACTCTTAGTCCTTCACATAGAGTTCACAAAGTTCTTGTTTTCCGCAAATCCAATACTGCTGAGTTCTTTCTACATTGTGGCATTATGAAAAAACTGTGTCAAGAAGAGGCCAACACATTGCAGCCATGCAAAATTCTGCAGGTAACTGTTAGGACAGCTCAGTGATAGCATTTGGGGGATATTTCCTAAAATATAGTTTTGAATAGTCCAAATTTACTAAATTGTCTTGATTATAATTCCGGATGTGTGATCTTCAAATGACAAATAAGATGACGTAATTTGAGATATCTCAAAATGCATTTTGACTCTCCAAAATGTGATTAAAGACATCTTGAATTATTATTTTTCCCTAGACATAATATAAAAATATAAAACATCTTTAAGGGCAGTCAACATTTAGTAAATAATGTGTGTTTATTCTATTAAAATTTCTGTTTCTCTACAATGGGTCATCTGTTGTGCTGAGAATGAGCATCTCTGTCGCGGGTGTGCCCTAAACTCATGCCCATTGATGAGAAAACAGATTGAAATAAGAGCAAAAGGGGAAATTTTAAACATATTCTTAATGTTTCTTATATTTCTTAAACATGGATGCCTTAAAATCAATACTTTTGGTGGACAAATAAATGTGAATGAATTAACTTAGAGTTACCGAAAATATGCAAACACTTTCAGATTGAAAAACCATTTATCAATGACCATCCACTTCACTACTAAGCACCAGTTTAAAGGTGAATAGTAAAAAACTAAATCCAAATAAAACACAATGGAGCGAAATTTATTTTGACAAACAAAAAGTATTCAAGTGGTTTAAAAGCTGTTGCAAGATATTTTGTGTATCACTAGAATCTCAGGGAAGGATGAGGCAGAGTTTAGGAGGTTCAGTGTTTCTTGTCTTTTACAGCAAGTTTGACGAGGATACTGCAAAGAAGAACAAGGTGAGGAGAAAACAATTAACAAAGCAGCTATGGGAACCATCAAAGGCAAAATCAAATTGAAGTATGGAAGAAACAGGAAGTAGTTATGTTGGGGTATTTTGCCTCGGTGGTGTTTTGTGCACAATAAAAAGTAGAAAGAAAGAAAGACAGGGTGCTGTTTTCCTCCATTCTTTCTCTTTCTTTGTTGTGAGTCGTGTCTCTTGTTAAGAATCCTCTGCTGCAAATCTAAGGGTTGTCTATTTACTGAAGGACTCGTTCGGAGCATTTAGTTTAACTATAAGCCCTGAAAACCATATTGTCTCCAATAATTGTTGAAATCAGGGTCCAACTTCCTTCTTCTGCTTTCTGACTATGTCTTTCTTCTTTCAGAGCTGCCCTATGGCTGGGAGAAGATAGACGACCCCATCTACGGCAGCTACTACGTCGAGTAAGTGTCCCTGAATCACTCTGTTGTTTTATAATGGAACTGGGATTATGTAATGATGTTGGTGTCATGTATGTGTGTGTTTGCTGACCATGTGAGAGAAATAAAATATTCAGATTTAAAACACGTCCTTATACTCACTAGGTAAATCTAATGAGACTATAAATCACAATCAGAATTACTTTATAATCCCTTGGAGGAAACAATTTTATTGCATTGCAACTGTTTACAAAAGAGAAAAATAAGATTGTAAGTATAGAGCACCATTTTTTTTTATTTTTATTTCTTTACCCTTTATTTAACCAGGAAAAAATCCCATTGAGATTAAAAACCTCTCTTTCAAGGGAGTCCTGGCCAAGAGGCAGCAAAGTTACATAAGATACATTAAACATAGATACATTAAAATAAATGACAGGTACATAAAAAATAAAAACATATCAAGTAAAACAATTAAAGATCATTGAGACTGCTTCAAATTTTTTCACTTTAAGCTTAAAAGCATTTAAAGATAAAAACTCAATTTCCAGTTTCTCTGTAAAAAATTTGACGCACAAAGAGCTGCGTAGCTAAAGGCTTTCTTCCCTAGTTCTGTGCGGGCAAAAGGAACAGTTAGCAACAGCTAATCATTGGATCTCAGGGCATAAGGAGCCATGCTCCTCTGTGTAAGTAAGGTAAGAATCTAAGAGGGCAGTAATTCAAGAAGGGCCTTGAAATATAGTATAAGACAGAATAAAATAAGTAAAATTAGTAAAGTTACAACCCACATGGGGATATTACACTCTTTCCATATAAACAGTGTAAAATAAGATATAGTAATAATAGAATAAAATAAGGATCACCTTATATACAATCAACAATTTCAAATTTCCATTGCTGCTCAGTAAAAAATTACAATTATTGCACATAACCATTTTATTGTGCATTGTGATGTAATGAAATAATTAAAGTTATGAAATCAAATTGACAGTCAGAGATGAATTAAACAATTTGATGGCACAAACACAAAGATTTCTGGTATTTTTCATAAAGTCCTCATGAGAAGTAAGTTCATTTGAAGGTTTTATGTATTTTGGACACACTGGAGGGACTGTGTCTCTCGGCCGCCACCGGGAACGCCTCAGGCTTCCATCAGCAGAGCTGGAGAAGATGTCTGGGGAGAAGGAGGTCTGGGAGTGTCTGCTGAGACTGCTGCCCCCGCGACCCTGGTCCTGAATAAGCTGAAGAAGACACGTACCTTAACATCTTAGAATTTAGATTGAAATCTATAGATAGCCTGAGACCTGTGAGATGGATTGAACAGAAGGGGGTAGAATGGAGAATCCAGGACTCTTAATGATTTAGAGAGATTATGCAATGAGACCATATTTAATATTATAGTGAAGACTTACTGGTTCTACATAGCAACGGCGGCAGGAAATTAACTTTTGTGTTACATATGATTAGGAGATTTTTTTATCTACAAATAGGGAGTGGCGGACTAGTGGTTGGAGCTTGAAATCCTGACGTTCTGAGTTCGAGCCCCGCTGCCACAGACTGCCACTCTGGGTCTCTGAGCAAAGACCCTTAACCCCACATTGCTCCCCAGGTGCCCAACGATGGCAGCCCTCTGCTGCCCAAGGGGATGGGTTAAATGCAGAGGTACATTTCTCCAATGTGAGATCAATAAAGTTCAATTATTATTTGGTTTAAAATAATGATGAATTTCAAATAAATTTAACTAACAACATCAAATCTCAATGGACAAAAAAGTGAATTTTTTTAATGAATCCCTGCCTTCTAATCAAGGTTTTAGAGTTCAAGAGTTTTTTTTTCTTTTTTTGGCTCACTGAGTATCTACAAGGCCTTTTTCTGTTGATTTTAATGATGTGCTGTATTTTCAGTCACATCAATCGAAGGACTCAGTTTGAAAATCCAGTCCTGGAAGCCAAGAGACGTCTGGAGCAGCAGAGACAGATGCAGAGCCAAGGACTCTCTGCTCTGCCTTTACCCACAATATACAGAGGTACTATTCTACACTCTAACCAAATGAAGGTCCTTTTTACATAACAACGAAACTGAAAAATCTAAAAATGTCATATTGTCTTAGTTTTAATAGGAGTTAATGCTAGATTTCAGTATTTCCTGCCACTGTTGTCCTGAAGTTAGTGGGCAGTTTCATATGCATTAGATGAGGCAGATGTCACAATGTGCTGCACAGGGTTGGATGGAGATTGTGGGTAGTTCAGGCAATAGGAGGACATATTTTCCCAGAGGCCTCTGGGTCAATTCAGGCGTGGATATAACGACATAGGCACCAGACACTATGTTTTTACTTTATCTGAGCGACACTTACTCTGAACACATTAAGTAGAAATACCAACTGTAATCCATACCCTAGATTTTAGCCAAAAATATGGCAAATGATTTGGAAAAACCAGTTTGTTTTTAATGTTTATGCAAAGGATAAATTAATGTGACAGAACAAATGTTTTCGGTTTTTGAAAATAAGGATGTGAAATCTAACAAAAAGGCTCTCTTATAAATTTAGAAAAGCCGTTGTTTACAAGGGACCCAACCCAGCTGAAAGGAAACTTCCTGTCCACGGCCTTGCAGAAGAGTAACATGGGATTTGGCTTCACGATTATCGGAGGCGATGAGCCCGATGAGTTCCTGCAAGTGAAGAGTGTTATACCGGATGGTCCAGCTGCTCAGGACGGGAAAATGGACACAGGTGGTTATAAAAACTAGACATGTAATAAAAACTGGTTTAGAAGAAGGTTGTGTTGTGAAATAAATAGTAAATAGCTTCTCTTCCTGTAAATATGTCTTTTTGGGGATGTGCCAGTTTGGCTTCCTGGTTGTGTCAGAACATTTTTCCATCATATGCTACAGTATGCTGCTTTAGTTTTAGCTGGCAGAGGTTATAAAATTCCTCAAACAATACAAATATGCTTTTGCCATCCAGATCACCAACAGTTTAATATTTCTCGATAATAAACCAATGTCCTAAGTTCAAATACTTAGAGACTTACTTTATATATATATATATATATATATATATATATATATATATATATATATATATATATATATATATATATATATATATATATATGGTGCTTTCTGAAAACAATTAACTTTTTCCCCTATAAATCACCTTACAACCACTAACATAATCATAACTGACAGACCAACACAAAGTACTGCTTAATTGTGTGGTGAGAAAAAATGATGCAAGCTTTTTGACATTTTGCTCTAATACAAATATGACAATTTTGGCATGTGTCTGTTACCAGCCGTAACCGTACTCCTCTTCCCTTAAATACTATGTTGAATTATGACATAATTAATTCACATGTATAATTGAGAAGTTCTGGAAGACTGGACTTGGGCCAAAATTGTCCTTTTTAGTCAGGCTTCCCCTTTTATAAGCCTTTTCTTTTCTGTGTTCTTATCATCGCTTACTATTTCTCTGCTATTTTATTTTTCTTCACTGTTCTGATAATAAAAACTGACACAGAAGGATTTTATTTGTTGGATCTCAAGCCTTTGGATCTTTATCTTATGTGCCATAACAGGTGAAAATCAAAACAATTCACAAAGAGTTAACACTATTGATGCTAAATTTCCTACTTGTGGAGAAACATTTCTTTAAGTTTTAAAACCACAAGTTTCAGACTCAAAATAAGCACCACTGCAGCTTCTCATGAGGATTATTTAGGTACAGACCCAACATTAACCAGCATGACTTGTTTAGATTCTCCCCTGAGCAAAGAATGAAATCCTATATTTGTTGACTGTTGGCTTTTTATGGATGCAGATACCTACAGAGTGTTCAGTTGGTTCAAACATAAGCTCCTTATTATTTGTGATTTAGGATGAATTTACAGAAACAATAACCGGTGGAAGCTTAACCTCAGTGCAGATTTATATAGAAAGCTGTAGGCACATACTGTTTGCAGTTGGCCTCATGCCTGGCACTGTGGTGTCTGAACGGCTCATTCTGACCAGATTTCTGGATCGACACCTCAGCATCTACTTTCCACTCTTTTTGTTTTTTTGTCCTGAATCTCCTTATCTTTCTCTTTCTTTATTAGCCTCCCTTATCTGACCATGTTGTCTAACACTTCCCCCTCCCTCTATATCCTTAGCAGTTTTTATCTGTTTGCTTTTTGTCTTCCTCTAGTTTTCTCTTCATCCCTCTTCTCTGGCCTGTCAGCCTTTTTCTTGCTCTCTGTTCTGGGATTTTTTTCCCCTTTCTCTCCAATTTGTTCATCTCAACTCTGTGACATTGCCAGAGCTACACTAGCGCACACTTTCACATTCAGGGACTCACACAGTCATCCTCTGACTGAGATTAGCTGCCCTATTTGGCTGCGTGGCGTTGCTCTCAGGGATTGTGCATGGTTGAGGATTTGACATGTATGAAGTACATGTATGTGTGAGGACACACTTGTGGGTACTTGTGTGTGCTTGCATATCTGCAGCAACATAAAATCAAGTATTTGAGGCTGTACTTGCTTTGGAATGGTCAATTTAAAGTTAAAATATTCCTAAGCTAATCACATTATGAGGCTCTGATGGCAAGAAAATCGTAAAAAAAAAATATATGAAGTTTTGGCTTAATTATGGAGCAACAACTTTCTGCATGCATGCTTAAAAAATTTTCCTATGCTTTTTTCTTTTTTCACTTGACCAACTAGGTCATTAAACATTTTTTTAATACAGACAAAGACAACCTGAGTAAAGAGAAAATATTTTTTGAATCAAAGTTTATCTACTAACAGAAAAAGCTCCTCAAACTAACATGGCTGTGTAAATTATGTATGATTAACCACAGTTTTTGCATCAGTTTCACTCGCAGCACTCACTGTCACTGTCTGACCAAATGAAATCATTGAAAGGGATTGCTTTCTTGATCTAAATTTATTTAGAATTGATGAGACCCAAGGTTCTTGACAATCAGGTTATGAAAAGCATTCAGAGATGGCAAAAGTACTCACTTTCCGTACTTGAGTAAAAGTACAGATACTTGTGTTAAAAAATACTCTGGTAAAAGTGGAAGTTCT